CGTGCAGGGTGCCTGGGGCAGCGCCGGGGCGTCCCCGCGGCGCTCTTAGCGCGGCGCTCCCTGCGCGGCCGCGCGAGGGGAGGACGAGTCGCCGTCCCGCAGGGCCCAGCCGGGCGCTGCCCGGGAGCTGCCCCGGTCCCCGTGCGGCTCTCGTGTCCTCGTGACGCTGCTCGACCTCGGTGAGCAACGGGGCTTTGCTGAGGGGCTCCTCCTGCAATGTGGTTTCCACCCTGGTTTTGCCTTTAAGCGAAGCACGTCGGGGCAATGTTGTTTCACACCTGCGTTTAGCCCCCGTTGCTGCTCTCTGCAGGACGAGCGCCAGGCCGAGGTTGTCGCCCGCAGAGGTCTCAGCCAGGGCCTGTGTGCTGTGGTGCTGGTGTCCATAAAAGAAACGATTTTCACACCTGGTTTGCAGCAAGGTTTACACGAGCAGAAGAGGAGCAGGTTAAGTGGGAACAAAAAGTGATGTTGGCAAATGCTGTAAAACCTGCTCATGCAAAGACCTGAGGTGACTATGAATTTAAAATCTAAAGCAAGGGAATCCTTAAACTAACAAAGCCTTATATGGATTTTTCCCCCTTTATTTCGCTCAAATAGGAGCCCTTAAAACTCGGCGGCCCTGAAGACGATAAACATTTGAATCTAGCCCTGAATTTCAGAGCTGTGGCCCTTAACGTTGATTTATAAATTGCTGCATAGGGATAATGTATGATCGCATGATGTATTTAATGAGGTGCTGAGACAATTTCTAGGAGCTGCCTGATGCTAATGTTAATATCCTTTTTTTTTTTCTCTTGTTACTTAAATCCCCTTAAAAAGTAGCTCATAAAATTAACCGGCCATTACATGGGAACTGTTCCCTTCGAACTGGTGCTTTGTGTTTTACACCATCGGTCGTTTCTCTTTCAAGCTGTAGATGATAGAAACATGAGACAGCAAAGCGAGGTGTCGATGTGCAGAGTGGAGCTGGAATGCAGCAGATATGTTGCTCAAAACACTCTGAATTCCTTCCCTTCTGCTTGCTCCTGTTTAACACTGAGGGGAACTTAGGTCATTGATTTTAAATCCACATATTGGCGTTCCTGCCCCCCTTCCCTCCGCCTCCCTCCTTTTCCCCCAAATCCCACGAGCGCAGAGGATTTGGCTTTGCTTTGGCTTTGCCTGGCTCCTCGGCCCCTGGTTGCTGCTCACGTCCCCTGTCCTCTTGTGTGGCTCGTGCCTCGGGGCCTGGGGATGCTCCCGCGCTAAGGAATGACTGGGAAAACACGGACGCTTCCCTGTGCCTCCTGGCATTCGTGCCACGAGCCGGGTGTTTTTCCAAGAGAGGCAGCATCTCTTCTTCGAATCCCTCCCGGTTTCTAAGCGGGGCGCCTGCCCTGACCGTTGGATAGGAGCAGATCTGGTACAACGTTGTGCATGATGTGGGGTTGTCGGCGGGGAGGGAAGGCTGGAAGCCAGCACAGAGCGAACAGGCAGCGCACAAGCGCGTTATTAAGGTTCACCAAAGGGTTGCCAGTGTGTTCTGACCAAAACAGCTCGTAATTTGGCTTGCAGAAGGGGAGTCGGGTTGTTTTGAAAGAGCCCATGAGCTGCTCAGGCTCTTTGGCAGCATTGCCCATCACTTCCAGGCATTTTCCTGCTAGAGGAATGCAGCGCGCGCTGCCCACCAGGCAGCTCCCTGCAGCACTCTGGGGAAGGAGCCCTTGCCATTTGGGCCAGCACTGAGGGTGGCTGTCACTTACATGGCAAAGAGGCAAATCTGGTCCTCGCTCCGGAGCGACATTCCCAGCGCTCGTTTGCCTGGAAAACGCGCCCCTTCCCTAACTGCAGTGGCAGGAGGAAGGGATGGAAGGTGGATTCCCACCACGGCTGCGGCGAAGATGTCCATGGACAAGCAAAGAGCGAGAGCTGCTGAAGCCAGGGGTGGTTTGAGGATATTGCTCACTACGGGGAAACAAAATGATTGAACTTCTCTCTTCTTCTTTTGCAGGGCCGTCATGTTAAAACAGGACAGCTTGCTGCTATTAAGGTTATGGACGTCACCGGGGTAATGTATCCTCCTCCTCACTCTGTGTGTTTAAGTTACTAGATGAGAGGAGTAACTCGGCTGCATGCAAAAGGACATGAGGGTTTGAGAAAGGCTCGTGTTCCTGGGGAGCGGGTGCTCCTTCATTAATTCGAAAGGCTCCGTTAAGAGTTAGTGTTTTTACACCAGAGTGAAAAATAAATCCAGAAGAATCCTGAGATTAAGTAATTTTGTGCTGAAACAGTGAAGCTTCCAGCTCCATGGCTGGTTGGAACAGATAAATGAATTCTAACAAAAAGTGTAGGAATTCTATCATGTGCTCATAAAACATTCCAGCTTCTTCACATCTGTGGTTTCCCCTGAAAAGCTTTTGTTCCCCTCGACTGTATGCAGGTATGGTTGCAAATAGCTCCACTGCATAAGTTAAATTACTGCTGTGCATCCTATCAGTACAAAGGAGGAAACACGCTGCCTTAGCCACACAGACAGGGCTCTTTTAACACCAAACAATCCACAAGTTATTAAATGAATAAAAGGATTTGGGGGAAATAACTGTGCTCCCGTTTTCCAGTAGCTGCAGAATGAAAAATGAGTAGAATTGCTGTGATCTGTAGAAACCTAAACAGATGCCAACAGATTTCTAGCAGGAAAGATCCCATGAAAATGCTTTTTCCACCTTTTTCCTTGGCGTTTAAGTCCAATATTATGCCTCCCAAAGTTCCTGCCTGCGTAAACAACGCCAGGTTTTGAAGCAAGATATTTTTTATATAAAACAGCACATTTCAAACACTGGGATTAAACCCCAGTCAGCCCACCTTATTTTTGAATTAATGTTTTTATTTAGTTTACACGAGCACGTACAGGATTGCCTAGGTCTGAAAGCAATCACTTGGCCTCATGAGTATGTTTTGAAACACCATAGGTGTTATGTATATCTACAGGACAGCTATCAAGGTTCTCTTTTGTATTAATAGGGCAAATAATGTGTGAAAATTGCTAAGTAAATGCGAGAAAGATTTGTTTCTGTTTTCTTACAATATGAGCAGATGCCATTCATCTAGTTTCCATAAGCAGAAGGGTAGAAAATGAGCACGCCTGTTGAATGTTCCCCCATGGCATCAATGGTGGTGAGGTAAAATCTGAGGTTAGAACAAATTTTAGATGAAAAAGCAGAGCATTACTTTGAGACAAAAAAAAAGGTTAAAGATGAGGGTTAATTAAGTGATTTTACAGTATTGTCACTTCCAAGTGAAGATATTGGGAAAAAGTAGCCAAAATCTGATGCTGCCCAGTGCTTGGTATCTGCAGCCATGCCATAAGTAGATGTCTCTGATCTAAACCACTGCCTTCCAATAGGATTTCAAATATGGATCCTCCTTAATAATCTGCTCTCTGCTGTTGCTATCGTACAGGTGAAATGTATTTAATTAAAGCGGAGCAATCATGCTGCTTCCTGCCTCTGTTTGGCTGATATGAATGTTCAGGTTATTAAATCAAATATTTGGCAGAGGATTTACTGTTTGGATATTTAATTACTTTCCTCTGGAGCTGCTTTTAGCCATATTAAAACACACTGGTTAATTTTCTTTCAGTATGTAGTGCGCAAGTTTGAAGTCAAGACCAAATTTTAAAGCCAAGACCTTACCTGAACTTCTGCTCTCCTCTGCTTCTTTGTACCCCATGTGGTTTCTTGCACTCTCGGGCAACCCAATGTTGTGTGAGTGGAGATGGAGCTGAGCGAGAGGTTACAGCAGGAGCAGTGCCAGTGCAGAGATGAGAGCTCCGAGGTCTGTGGACAGGAGGCAACACCCCGAACACAGAAGGACAAAGTGCTCGGAGAGCAGGACTAGGAACGACTGCCGTAAAAACGGTGCAGACGCGTCTGTGATGGGAGCACTGGCTGCGTTTCCTGGTCGTCGTTTCCAAAGTCGGGTCTAGAGCCAAACCTAGGACTGTTCTGGAGCCACCCAGCTAGAATCATCCCAGCAGTCACTTCTTGGACTGCCTCAAGAGCCACCCTGGAGCCACCCCAAAATTTGCTCTGAGGCCAACCTCAAAGCCACAGGATGGTTGAGGTTGGAAGGACCTCTGGAGATCATCCAGTCCAACTCCCTGTGATCAAGCAGGATCGCCCACAGCGTTTTGCCCGGGAAGCTCTCAAGTATCTCCAGAGATTGAGATTTCACAACCTCTCCGGGCAGCCTGTGCCAGTGCTCACTCATCCCCCCAGTCAAGATGTTTTCCCTCGTATTCAGACGGACCTTCCTGTGCTTCACTTTGTACCCGTTGCCTCTCATGGCATCACTGATCACTGCTGAAAAGATTATGGCCCCATCTTCTTACCAACTCCCTGCAGATATCTACAGTGCTAAGATCCCCCTCCTCAGTCATCCCATCTCCAGATGGACCCAGAGGTCCAGTTTGTGGCAGGCCCCATGGTCTGTCCGTGCATTAGCAGAACATGCAGAGCGTGCCTGCGTCTGCCCTGTGAGGTATTCGTCTGGATCAGTTGGTGTTGACCATGGGGTCATGTTCCTTTGAGCCTAGATGAGCCCATTCCAGTTGCAACAATCCTCCCTCATCTCCCTGGGATCCTGAGAGACTAAGTGTTGTGTTCCCCTGTCCTCCAGGCACATGAAGCCAAGTGAAGTTGTGTTGACTATTAGAAGGACCAAACCAAAAAAGGGGCTTTTGGGTTTCTTCAAAGTTTTTTTTTTTTTTTATATATACAGTCTTTAGGCCCATTCCCCTGCTTCTTTGAGTTTATGCTCTCCATTTTCTTACTGGAGATAAAATTGGAGCTCGAACCAGCTAATTCTTATATTAGTTCCCTCAATCCTCATCTTCAGTGCACTTCCCTGAATTTTCTCTTAAAGACAATGATCATTAAATCATTTTTCATAGGAATCTGGAAAGAAATCAGTGTTTCTCTCCATGTGTTATGTGACATCTGGTCAGGGAATAGCGGTCTTTAGAAGAGCTGTGCAGTGCAGCTGAGCTGATCACCAGGGTGGTTTGTAAAACACGTTCAGGATCAAGCAGGTGAGGGAAGTAGGGGCAATAGGGAGGGAAAGAAGTAGCAGTTCTGGTCCCTCTGCAATAAAGCCCATCAACACCAAGGTGCTAACTGCTGTTGCCTGTGCCACGGCCTCTGCAATTCCAGTGGGCTGGAATTCTGCCAGCTGAAAATAAAATCGGGGCACATTTGATCACATTGAAAGCCACACGGTCGTACTTCAGAATGGTTGTCAATGCAGTTCTCCTGCCTAAACTGCTTCAGCTCCTGGGACTTTGCAGACCAATTGGAGAGGAGCTGTGGATGTGCTGAAGCCCACCGGGAAGCAAAGATCCAAACTGGCCTAGAAGAAAATCTTCTGAATCTTCTCCATGTGGAGCCACCACCAATTACCCGCGCATCCGAAAGCCACTGGCTTCAGCCTTCCCAGATGTGCTCCTGCACCAGAGCGAAGTCCACATTAGCCTGGGAACGAGAATCCACGTGGTGACTGCTGCCTTGTGCGTCCTTCCTCCCTGCCAAGCGTGTGTCACGCCGCTGGGGAGGAGCGGGTTGCACGAGGCTGATGCTGGGTCTTGAGGAAGCCATCCCGTTGGCCTGCCAGCAGGGCTAGAGCACGGGCAGCAGAGCTGACACCTTGCTGGAGCCCTGCAAGTACAGTGAAGCTGCAGAACAGTGTGGTACAAATGTGAATTATAACGGGATTCGTTTAGAAATGGTGGGGGAGTGCTCAAAACATGCAGCCTGTCTGCAGAGCTCCTCTTTGGCAACAGGTTCCTCTCCAGTCCAACCTCAAGCTCCGTAGGCTCCAGTGTGAATTGCACCCTCTAAAAAGTGTGTATAAATGTCCCAAGCAAACTCAGTGTATGGAAGTCAACTAACCTGATGAAGAGAAACCTGAGCGTGTGAAGCATGGGCTCTTTGTGTCACTCATGTTGGTTTTCTTTGCCTTTCCCCTCATCCCAGGATGAAGAGGAGGAGATCAAACAAGAAATCAACATGCTGAAGAAATATTCTCATCACCGAAATATTGCCACATATTATGGTGCTTTCATTAAAAAGAACCCACCAGGAATGGATGATCAGCTCTGGGTAAATTACTTTCTTTTCTTTAAAATCACTGGGTTTTTACATAAACAATTTCTCTGTGTTATGCTCTTACCACCACCTGTATTACAATAAGCCTTATTTTGTGTGTCTTTTTTGGCTTTCTGGCTTTGAAAAGGCTGTTCCTGCCCTGAAAACACTTCTCCATTTAGCCATAAAAGGTTTGCAGACTGATGATGGAAAACAGTTTTGTTCTGGCTGATCATTAACAGCATCTTTGTTATAATAGTCATCTGAAAATTGTTCTGTCCTACAAAAATAAACAAATGCAGCACAAGCAGTGGAAGAAAAGGGGAGCTTTGGTAGGAAGATCGAGGCTTAGAGGCTGGTGGGGGTAATCCTGGTCATTCATGTTTCCTGCCAACTTTTAACTAGTTGGCAGTAACTAATAATAACTGTTAGTTATTGCTAAGGCAGAGAAAGGAAGAGGAGGGAGCTGGAGAACAGGAGGCAGAACAGGTCGTTTCCAAGGCTCCTGACGAAGGGGGAAAAGCTGCTTCGCCTCCCGGTAAATCCTTGTCTGCCTCATGCTGCTGTTTCCCTTGTCCCTAGAGGACAGTGGCCTCCAGTTGTTTATTCAGCATCCCCAGGCTTAGAGGATAGGGTTCAAATCTGCCTCCGTGCCAGGGGAGGCTGGACTGTGAGCGCCGGTGAGCCCAAGGGCCAGGCCTCCAGGCACTGCCTCGCCTTTTAACACAGGGGGGCAAAAATTAATCAAAGTTACTGTGCTGTGTTCTGGGGTCAGCCATGCTCACGGGTGTCTGGGGAACAGCTGCCTGCAGCCCGGGTGAGCATCCGAGATGCTGCTTTTGCTGTGCTGGTGCTGAAGGGCAGGCTCAGGCAGTTTGCAGGCAGGCTGTAAATAATGCAAAGTTACCTTAAATCCAACCACCTGGCTGTCGTCGCGTGCTCGGAATTGCATTTATTCCTTCACAGCGCTGTAAATCCAGCCCGTTCTGAATTATCCACGCGCCGTCTCTCCGGCTTGCCGTGTCGGAGACACGTGGGCACCTGCCTGGAGTGCAGGGCTGGGAAGTGGGTCCTGCCGGGATCAGCAGCCCACGGGCTGTTGCCCTTCAGAGCCACCCGAGCTGGGGCCAACAAGCCCTGGTGAAGCCCCTCGCTGGGACGTAGCCCTGTGCTGGCTCCCACAACCCATTTTGCTGCTCCTCAGGGTTTATTTTATGCAGGGTGCCCCAGCTCCCATACTGCAGGGAGCGGAGGAGCAGGATGCCAAGGGCATTCGGGCAGATGGTGCCAAACCTTTTCTCAGGGGCACTCTGGGCTATATGTGTTTTCCCTTAATTTCTGGGCAGGCAGCAACATCTCCTCCCCTTCCAAGGAGGAGTCGTAAGAAGAGGGCTAATCCTGGCTAATACAGTTGTTTGTTTTTTTTCTTTTTGTGTCTGAACAACATTTAGAGCCTAATTTTTCAGGAGTAGCAAATATCTGCAGCTGGAAGGCCCTGGAGAAGAGGTGAAGCCTTTGCTGTTTCATCCTCCGTGTGTCACAACCTTGCCTCACCTCCAAGTATACATTCATATGTATAAATACATAAAAAGACCCAAAGAGCTGTGAAGTGGTGCCAGCTTCCAAGTTTCTTTTTCCTCCTTTTTAACAACAGTTCACTGACCTGCAGCACCCTATCTCCACAGCACATCTGCAGAATGTTCTCTTCTGTAGTTTTCATGTAATCCAGGCTGTATTTAGCAGCTCCAAAAGGTTTCCAGTGAAATTGCTTTGGCTGTTTGCTGCTGGGCCAACGTGGCAGCACTTGAGCAGGCTCTGAGAGCTGCACAGAATGACGGGGACGTCCCCCCCATGTCACCTGGGGCAGAACCTGAGCTAATGGGGCTCTGCATGTGTTGTTTTGTTAGCAAAGACTTTGTGTTGCACAGGATTATTGGGAAGACTTGGGGATTGGATCCCACTGGTGTCTGTTATTTGGGGTTTTCTTGTTTGTTTGGTGGGAACTTTTTAGAAGTGTCCTTTGCAGCAGGCCTGGAATTCAGCGAGGAGAAAGCTGTCAAGCTGAGAAATGCCTTTTCATCCCGTGAAATTCCACTTGGCTTTAGCTGTTTTATAATCTGTTTAGAAAAAAAAAATCCCCTTGTGCTGCTGGGGGTGCCTGGAGGAGAGAAACCAACCCTGCCGTGAGGGCTCCACAGAGCTGCGCCAGCCCGGAGCAGGCTGGTAGATAACCTTGAACCTTGGTAACCTTGGACTTCCAGAAAGATAAGGTCAGTAGGAAACTTTCCCTTGGTCAGGAGAGCCTTAAAATCAGCTCCGAGTCCTCGTGGGCTTCAGGTGGCTGAGGGCAGAGCTGGGTGTGTGATCGGGCTCCCTGTGACTCCCTGCGTGATGGGCACGCTGGATAATCTGAATTTCCTTTCAGTCCAAGCAAAACTCAGCTCTATTTTGGGGCATTTCCCATGGGCAAATGGAGAAAGCTGTTGTGAAAGCTGCTCTTCCATGTGGTAGTGCTGGTGCAGGAGATATTTTCACATCTCCATCCAGTGCCAGGGCTGGTCGCGGTACCCGGAGGAAGCCCCCGTGGCCGTGGGGAGGAGATGTGCCAGTGTCACCATGGCCTATAGCTGCTTTCCCCGGATCTGATTGAATTGGAGCTCGTGCGAACTCTATCAGTCCTGCGCACAGATAAAGGCCTGTTTATTTTTCATCGCCCTTTTGTTGGAGCAAAACGGTTTCTGATAATGCCCAAGTAATTCTTTTTTATCAACGCTCGGAAGGCTGATAGGGAAATAAAAGCCAGAGATCTCGTTGAGCGGAGACGGAGGTGGCTCAGGAGCGCGGCGCGTTGTCCCAGCGCCCGCCTGTGCCCGCGGGAGCCGAGCGGGAGGGACGGGAGCGGCTCCCCGCGCTGGGAAGGCCGCAGGGCCCCTTTTGGAAGAGGAATCGCAGCAAGCGGAGACACATGGCACAGCTCCAGTGCATTTAGTAGGAAGCCAAAATCAGAGGGAGGACCTTTTGGTGTTGGACGACCTGTTGGTGTTTTGAGGGGTTTCTGTTTGCTTTTTGGAGATGGGGCATCCACGCCAAAGCTCAGAGGCAGTGGGGAAAGCAGTGCTGTTCCAGAGGATCCCTTCCTGAGCACATCCCTCCTCCGGGCCCCATTGCAGGCTCGTTGCTGGAAGCCACTGGGTCTCCTCTTCATTTCCATGCCACATGCATCCGCAGGGTGGTGCGGGTGCCCCGTTGCCATCGTCTGTCACCCGTCCCTGCTGCCGGTAGTGTCCCGCAGCGCTCGGCCAGCAGCCTCCGCGGGGCTGTTGCATCCTGCCTCCGCGTGGAGCTGGGTTTGCACCACGCTGGCCCGATGCCGCGGGCTGGTGGCCCCCGGGGGAGAGGTCCCTGCTTCCAGCCTGGCCCTGGATTGCTTCCATGGCAACGCTGAAAAGAGCGCGAGGAGAATGGATAATGATGGGGATAAGGGACTGACAGGCAGGCTTGGAAACACCTGGCCAGGGTCCCCAGTGTCCCCGAGGGCTGCACAGCCCGGACAAGCCGGGGACGGTGTCGGGTCAAGAGTCCTGGCACGGCCCCTGCGCGCGGAGGAGCCAGGGCCCTTCCTCAGGAGGAGGGAGTCCAGGTGGTTTGGGGAGGGTGCGTAATCAGGACGGCTGCAGCTGCAGGGGTTGATCTGAGCCCACAGTGTGGGACCGGGGAGGAAAGGGGACGTCTCGGGTACCTCAAGGCGTCGGTGGGAACACCCATTTTTATGTCTTGAACTACAGAGACCTGTTGCTATCACTGCAGTGGTGGTAGGGCCCCCCAAGGATGTCATGGGGTGGTGGAGTCCCACCAGCTTCTGGAGAGCAAAATGGGCCAGCAAGGCTCCGAAAGTGGCCGTGGAAATGGGGAAGGTGGGTGCGCAAACCCACTGAATCCATGGGGCTCGCACCCGAGCAGCTCGGAGCAGGAGTGATCCTAACCTGCTTAGAGGCGCTGAGGAATATTTTTGGACAGTTGATGATGTGTCACACGAATTAAATCATTAAACACTAGACAGGTGATGGTTTTTGGTTGAGCTGTAGCTCTCGTTAGTTCCTTCAAGACCCCACTGTGTTGGCATGAGCTGCGGCCTGGCGGGGACGGGGCCGATACCGGCAGGTCCCTCGCGGGCAGGTTGGAGGAGAGCAGGGCTCCTTCATGTGAGGGCCAAGAGGGTGTTGCTCCCAGAAGGAAGGCTTGCTGCTGTGCAAGCCAGAGCTATTGAATTTTCCTTCCTGTTCAAAGCTATTTCTGTGGGAGCCCTGGGGGTGTTGCAAACCCCAGGCTCTCGGTCTCATATCTCTCCCGTTCCGAAGCCCGGAGCTTTCTGCCCGCCCAGGGCTCAGGCTGGAGCTGCCTTCAGGCTCCCCGAGTGCTACCAATTGCTTGCCTGGGTCCGAGCTGCAAGGAGGTGCCAGCAGCAAGCAGCCAGGCAAGTTACTTGGGGAAATCTGCAGGAGCTGTTTGGGTGGCAGCCCGCAGCCTCCGGGACAGGAGCTCGGAGGCCCGTGGTGCCGTTGCCGTGCTGGGCTGCAGCGGACAGGGAAGGTGCAGGCGGCAGGACCGGAGCCATGGGGATCCCACCGCTCCATCCGCGTCCTGCTTTGGCTGGAGCTTTGGCACAGGCCGCAGAAACCTGAGCTTATCTTCCCAGCTCGGCACGTGTGACAGGGGTGTTTGCGTCTGCAGAATATCTTAATCGGGGCACGATGCAAAATCCGTCGTTCTCTCAGCTTCCGAACCACGCGCTGTCTTCTCAGCGGAACCATCACGAGATGGTTTCTGCCTTTATAGTGTCCCATCCCTGGCCCCGGGTGCCAGGATGAGTGAGAGGAAGAGGAAGAGCCAGCCTGTGGGGTGAGGACAGATTTCCCATGGCAGTCAGCTTGTGGGATTTGGGGATTTGTTTTCAGTGGCTTAAACACAAATTGAGTGAATTGTTCTTGGGGTGGGGAACGGGAGGACGGATGAGTTTGGCTTGCAGGGTGAAGGGTTCGGGTGAATTCAGGGAGCCCTGTTGGGGTGGATCGCCGTTACAGAGAGGATGGTTTTCACACTGGAGACGCACACGTTTGAGCTCTTCCAGGTAATGTGAGTGGGAATGGTATCATGGGTTTGTGTGGCCATTCCCAACCCGAGGAGGTTGGGGGATGGTTGAGTTGAGTGAAGGCTCCTTCAGCCAAGGCTTCCTGAGAAGGGCAGGCAGAGACCTGGGAGTTTGCCTGGCTTATGAAGTGTGCGTCACTCTGGTGTGAAGAGCTCACTAAATGAACTGTATTTAAAAATACTTCCTCAATAAATGGCCTTGCAAATTAACTTTCAGAAGATGAGCTTACCTTTATCCCATCTTGATGATGATTTTAATTATGGTTAATAAAAATTCAATCTGCATTTCAGCTTTATTGTCTTACCTCTCCACAGCATCATACTTTAGTAAGATTGGGGATAATATAAGCGTTTGCTGGACAAAGCACTCCCCTAGAGGCGTAGGACTGACAGGAAGCTCTAACTGAGACATTTGAAACCTCTCCTAAGCAGGTTAAGCTCTGTCCTAAAACCAGTTGAAACTTCGACTCTTTTTTTTTTCCTACTGGAAGGCTGCTGAAACCTCCATTGGTTTCCCAATAAAACATACCCGTAGGATGCTTGTCCATTTGATATTTTGCCAATCCCTACTTTGTCACTTAAATCCTTCTTCTCCCTCCCGGGTGCTTACCTGTCCATGATACCTGTAATATGCAGCTGTATCTCGTGCACTTTCTTCCTTTGGCCAACAGCTGAACAAGGCTGCAAGGTCCCTGAGAAGAGCAGGGGTCTTTCCCCATGATCACCCTCTTGGGCCCTTGCTCCAGCACCTTTCCTGGGCTGTGTCACCCAGGGTAGCACAGGATCTTAGGTGAGATGTGGCCCCATGTAATGACGGGTGTACCCACCGATCTCAGTCTTTTCTGTGTGAGTCGTAGTGGGGGGTCCTGTCACTTCAGATTTGTCCAGAAGGAAGAGAGAAACTGGATATCAGAACTAAAGATGGAGTCGTGGTCAAAGCGCTCTTTCAGCCAACTAAGATGTATTCTGCTCAAATATTTTATTTAAACTAAAGACTTATAGCAGTGATCAGTCTGCGTTTTATGATTGTTTAAATACAATGGTCTTTTTAGTCACTGTGTTTGAGCAATTTGGTTGGGACTGACTTTTTGTTCTTCTCTCCCCTATCCACTTGGCCCTTGCTTTTAATAAAGCGATTTGCTAGGAAACTGTTAAATACCATGGAAGCGTTGTGCAATAAGAAACTTTAAAACTGTGCATTTAAGAATCCGGCAAGGCGAGAGTTACAAAGAAAAGGAACATCTCTTATCAGGCAAACTGGTCTAATTGGAAAATGAACATTGGAAAATGTTTGCTTTTGGGGAAGGAGTGTCTCTGTCGCTCTTGGAGCAGGTTTGTGGCACCTGTAGGCTGTGTGTGAGCGTGCTGATGTCTCCCTGGATGCAGTGGGAATCCGTGATGTTCCTGGAGGCAGGCTCATATCCTCTGCTATTTTTGGGTGTGTAATTTCACAGTTGCTCAGTAGCAATATTGAGTTGGAGCTTGGGTTAGATCCTTGTATTTTTATGTTTACTATTAGGAAACTTTGTACACAGGGCAAACAGGGTGGCCGGGCTCGTTTGCAGGAACCCAAGCAATAGGACTGCAGCTCTCTGCTCCAGAGGCTGCAGCTACACAACAAGCTTCATCTCGAGATATGTTTCTGGTCTGAAAAAGCAATCCACAATGAAGATCTCCTAGTAGAAAAGATTTTAAAAATCAGGCTAGGTTAAAGGTTGTAGGCAGAAGCTTTCCCACATCTGTAATGTTGCCTTCACATATGCGAGACTGAAGCTGGTGGATCCCAAGCGATGTGACGGCCGCTCTGTGTAGCGATTGGGGCAGCCCAGTGATGCTGCCAAGCTCAGGGCAGCCCCGAGGTGCCCTCGGCTCAGGAGATGCTCCCGATTCCTCACCTGCAGTAACGGCCCTTGTGTTTCCCTCGGCAGCTGGTGATGGAGTTCTGCGGCGCTGGCTCCGTCACCGACCTCATCAAGAACACGAAAGGGAACACGCTCAAGGAGGAGTGGATCGCCTACATCTGCAGAGAGATCTTACGGGTAGGTGCCTCCAGCCCCGCACCATCCAACCCCCAGACCTGGTGCTCCGAGGACACACGAAGCCTCTGGGATTCCTCCCATGGCTTCTATGGATGCCGCTCTGCCGGGCCTGGAGCTGCTTTGGAGCCTCTGGGCATGAATGATTCATGTGCTCGTATGATGCATAATAAGCACACGCGATTTAATGCCCTTTAGCTCTGCTAGTCCCCTGACTTTTAACCTTCCCTCTTTGCTTCAACAAAAATATAATTTCCTTTAATATTAATAAAGCGAAGATTTATGCACATTAGAATTAAGTTTTCAATGAATGCAAAGGTGAGAGCTAATGAAGTCTGTGGAAGGAGTCTTCATGATGGAAAAATACCTCGTTTTCTCAAATCGGCATGTCTGACTTTAATGAGGATGGTGCAGCTTTTTATACCCCCAAGGTAAAGCTTGGGCTGAAATGACCTAAAACTAGCCAGGCCAGAGTTTCATTTACTGGCACCTTTGGCAAAGGCTTGCTCACGTTTTGTGCAGACGAGGCCAGATTATGCGATCGCAGCGGTTCCCTCGGCATCGAGATCTATCACCCTGTGATCAGCTGTTGAACATGAGGTTCCAGTGTGAGGAAACCACTCTCACACGCGCTCATTAAACACATGAACTCTGAGCCTCGCTTAAAATAGTCCGTGTCAGTGAGTCAGAAGGTGACCATGGAGCTGTGTACAGGGCCACTGTCCCCTGTGGCCACCTAACCAAGTGTGTGTGGAGGCGAGAGCCTCTCCGAACCGTTTTGGAAGTTGGGGAACCTGCTGTAGGTTTGACACGGAATTGTTGATCCTGCACTGCTGCAAGACTGTTGAAATGCAGGAATGTTTTTGCTCTGCCTTCACTGCACAAAGGATGGAAGTGCCTCTAGCCGGGTACCGTTTGGGTAAGTCTGGAGCGCAGCAGAGCTCCGGTACACAGCGTATTTGGTGGTGTTAACCCAAGATAACGAGCATAACGTGATTAACAAATATCAGCACTATACCAAAAGTAATTTTCTTCCTAAAATATGAATGCTTAGTGCGAAATGTAAATCTAATGCAAAATCAGTTTTTAAAGTAATCTATATTTTAAGTGATCTATGTTTTTCTAAGCTGGCAATATAAGTGAATGTTATTGTGAAACTGAAAAAATGAATGAAATAAAAATGTAGGTTATAAAAAGAAATTAATGAGCTAATAAAAAAGCACAGCGGAAGAGCTAGTTTACCTTTAGCCTCCAAGACAAGATTTTAGTTTGAATGATGTCATTATTAGGGATATGTGGAAGTTATAATATGTGTATTTGCATTGTAGCTTTTTTAATACAAGCTTGTTAATATATTGGAGTCCCATTTATTATATACGAGAAGAGAATTTTTCAGTTTCCAGATGATGGAAACACGGAAAGCAGACAAAAACATTCTATTATTTCTGCTGCACAAATGGCTCCCTAAGGCAAAAATACACATGGAGAGAGAAAAAAAATGTCTGGAGATGCTGAGAAATGTGGGTTAATATGGGTTCCTGCCGAAACTGAAAGGTTGGTCTTAATCCTGCAGAATTGGTGGTTCCTTTCTCTTGCTGTTGAGAGCACCCAGTGCTGCACACGTAGCCACTAAGTGGGCGTTTCACTTGCTGGGTATGTCCTCCCAGCATGTAACACAGGACAGGATTTTGAACACATGATAAACAAAAGTGTTCTCAAGTGCCTAACTCCAACTGTGAATCTTTCATTTCTGGAGCGTAACTGGTTGAGGAGGAATGTCAGAAAATAACATGCTTTGTACTTGGATTCCTCTAACCTTTTTCTGAATTCTCTAGGGTTTGAGTCATCTACACCAGCACAAAGTAATTCATCGAGACATCAAGGGACAGAATGTCTTGCTGACAGAAAATGCAGAAGTTAAACTAGGTAAGAGTGGGTTAGAGCTCTTGGAAATAGCAAGCAGGCTGGCTGGAGAGGAGAAACGAGATCAGTAGGGGCTGTATAAATGGCATGAGGAAGGGGGATGGATGCAAAGGGCTACTGTGCATTTTTCTTTGTGGCAGCCTCAATAGACGACCTTGGGTGTTGACCAAGTGTCATGCAGTGAACTGCCAGTGACTGATGTTCGGGTTCTGCAGGCAAAGATGTACAGTGCAAAGCAGTGTTCTGGGTAGACAGCTTGATAGCTGTGCTCTCAGGTATGGATTGCACAGCGGTGACCATTTTTTCATGCCTCAAGTTGAAAATTTGAATATGTGCATGCCCAGATAATAGCAAAGCCTGTTTCTCCACAGCTTCATAGTGGTGCCCTGGAGGATCAGAATCCCTTCAATTAAACCTGATGCAATCCAGATTTGTTTTTCAAGCCAACCTTTAGGAGTGAGCCTCATTTGCAAGAACTGCTTAGGGTTTCATATGCAGTGCTAATCACTCTTTGGAAGACCAGTCATCCATATGAAGATCACATGGAAGACAGTAGATGAGCACAGATGATGTGCTCCTCTCCTCAATCTTCCAGCGCCTGTGTTATTAAAGCTGCCTTCATGCATTTTAATTTATGATGCAAGATCCCTTTCACTGGTAGAGTGAGGTGGAAGCCTTGCTTTACCATGTGTCTCTCTCTTTACAGCAGAATAAAAAGCCAGCTTAACAGATGGCACCACCAACTCGTTTGGCTTTGTGCTGGTGAAGATTCCCCTGCAAGGGGAAATTCTCCAGGGCAAATGTCCAACCATTATGTTGTGCAAAGTGAACTTAGTGACCATAGAGTGTTTTCTCATTGATTTGATTTCATCAGTTTTTGCTTCATTTTGCAGCTCTGTGCTTGACATTTCCCTATAGGCCTTTGTCTTTAGCCCTGAGTTCCTTAAGGTTTTGCACTTATGCCATTTCCCAAGAGTTTAGGTAGAAAAATGAGGCTTCTACAAATATTTGGCAGACTTTAATTCAAATGAGAAAACACAGAATAAAGGCTTCCGCTTATTCATGTTTCTAACCCTGTTTCTCATTAGTATGGGGAGCTGTGATTTCTTCTCATTGCCTCCTGGCAAAAAGGAAGAGGCACAAGGTTTCTTACAAAACCTAGAAATCGGATGATCAGATTCATCCTTGATTGACCTCTGTTGGTCTCAGCAGAGATCCAAAAAGAACGTTTCTGGCTCAGAGTTTCTCTCCTGACTGTGTGGAGAAGTTGGTCCGAATAAACCTAAAATAATTTTAATGTTTTACATTCAGCAGAAAACTTTTTGCTCAGATTGGTGTCTGACCTTACGCTGTGCTCTTGTTTTTCCGATCCATAGTGGATTTTGGTGTCAGTGCCCAGCTGGACAGAACTGTAGGCAGAAGAAATACCTTCATTGGGACTCCTTACTGGATGGCCCCTGAGGTCATTGCTTGTGATGAAAATCCCGATGCCACTTACGACTTTAAGGTAAGGACAAGCATATTCCCACTCATTTATACATCAGTACAGATGTGATCTGTAGTCTAAACACTCACTCGCATGGTAGTCAAAGAACT